GACGAAACGACAGCCTGGGTGTGACCGGCGGCGATAATGGTCGGCAAATATTTGAAGGGAGAGGGAGAAAAATCGTTCCCTGGGGAGTTCCCAGGGGGAGGGCAGAGGGTGAGTGGAGGGACGGCTCCGGATTTGGCGGGGAGGGGGGAGGCTGGGACGGGGAGAGGGTGGGTGGGTTGGGAAGATGTGCAGATGATGTTGTCGGCCTCAGTACATCATAAATCCCCCTCTGGGTGGACGAGGGATGTGGGATGAGCATCCTTCTTATCCCTGGGTCTACTTGGAAAGACAGGCTCCACTTGCCATGGCACCTTGCTGGTAAGGTGGAGATGGGAGGGGACAGAGAAGGGAGAAAAAAGTAAGGAAATTACAACAAAGAGAGGAAATTTGGGCTGAATAACTCTGGAAATCCTCCTGCAACTCAGCTGAGGTTGGTGAACTAGTGTCTGAATCCAGGTGCTGGCATGGACTGGGGCACACACACGATGGGAAGGAGCTCTGGAGAGGGAGGGGACAGCCAGACCCTGCAGGGTTTTGAGGCTCCTGTGAGTTGCTGGGTTTGAACGCTGGGACAGTGTGAAAGGAGATTTTGCTTCCCCCAAAAAACCATCCAAACAAGTAGGGGGAAAAAAATGAAGGCAAACCTCACCTCTGTTTGACACTGCTCTGTGTCTGCTAAAGGGCTGGGAAGGGTGAGGCATTAGATAACTGAAAAAAATGTTATTTAATAAATGCCCTACTAAGAAACCTGCCAAAAAACCCACACCTGTCCCTGCAAGGATCAGCAGGGAAGTTCAGGGAGTTGCCTGAGGCTGTGCAACAAATCAGTGGCAGAGGAGAAAGGGCACCTTGCACAGCTCTGGTCCATGCCAGGACACCCTGGGTTTCTCAGATAAGCCAACGTGCAAAACCCCGGGACTCCAAAGAGATATTGGACAAAGCACAAATGGAGAATGGCTGAGATGGACCCTCTCAAGGGCTTTTTCTCCACCCCTCGTTAGAAATTGGCTGCAAAGATGCTACAAACACAGAGAGAAGGCAGTGACCAGGTGACCAAGTGACACAATCCTCTTCCCTGGGAACTTCTCTTACATCTTTTTGACAGCACCTCTGTCTCATTTTCTATCGGCACAAACCTTCCAGAAGCCGGCAGAGCTGCCAAAATCTTGTAGTGTGACACCTCCGGCAGCCAGAACCCGGACCAAGAACTGAGCTCAACCTGTCCCTCCCTGGGATGTCACAGCGACAACGCAGAGCCCTGGACGAGCTTTAAACCGGCTCGCAATGAATTTCCTCCCCCCCCCCGCCCCTCCCGCCTCCACCAGCACGATGAAGACATCCTTTGTCAGCGGCGGGGACGGTGACAGCTCCTCAGGAGGGGCCAATTTTCTTTCGTGTCTCAGCAGAGAGGGGCGAGTTGGAAGGACGTGAAAGACTGGGTGGCAGAAGAGGGTGAAAAAGAGACCTGGAGGAACAAGATTATAAGTTAGCAACCCTCTCCCCGGGCTGTTTTTTTTTTATTTATTTTATTTTTTTAAATAAGGTTTCTCCCGGTTTGAGGGATTTTGGGGCTGCCACCAAGCGCGGTCGCTGCAGGTGGCGCTGCGATGTTGGGTTTTAGCGGTGGCTGCGCTCGCTCAAGCCCGGAGCTTTCAACAACCAGCCTCGGCTTTCAGCAACTTAAACACAGTGTTGGTTTAACAAACTTGTAAAATGGCGGGGCAAAATAATGATAATAAAATCCCCAAACAACCCAATTTAGATTCTTACCTCTCTCTCCTCTTCTTCCCCCCCCTCCCCCTCCAGTTCTTCGTTCTTTAAATTAGCTCCTCTGCTTTGTTATTGGAGTCTCAAAGTGTTCAGATGTATATCCTTGGAAAAAAATAGGTGTTTTCTGTTCTCTGGGTGCTGATGGGAGTGATCCCTATGTGTGGCTCAGGTAATAAGGCATGAAATGAAAGGATGTGTGTGCTGTTTGCTGCCTGCAAACCTCTCCTGCTTGCTGGAGAGGGAGGAACTGCTGAGGGATGCAGAGATGCTGCTGGCACCCAGGACTTCATGAGCAATGGAGGGTGGTTTTGGGGCAGCAGGAGGGAAATCAGGCTGTTTGGATGGAGACAACATAATTTTACCTCTTCCCAGGGGATGCTGAGAGCAGCTTGGGTGCTGTTTGGTGGGGTTTTCCCCCAGGAACTGAGCAGTGGGGGTGTCCAGGTTCTCTCCATGACTTTTTGCTGGGACCTGGGGAGGAGGGGGGAAATATCCACTTGATGACAACAGGGTGAGCCTGAACCCTCCATGTCCTTGGGCCCTTTTACTGCAGCTATTCACGGGTCAGGGGAGGTCATTTGGGTTTTCCAGCCCTAACCCTTTTCCGCCCCCGCTGCCCAGTTCATGAAAAGGCCTATAAATAAAGTCCCATTTGTCACTCACTCCTTCATGAACCCAAACAACACAGGCATATATTGACTCATGCCATTGTCTCAAGAGGCAGAAAGAAGTCGTCTTAATTTCTTCCTCCCCACCAGATAGCAGGAAGTAATCTCGGCATATCCAGATTATCCCTGTTTAACAGAACAGCCTGGTTTTAAATGGAAGACCAAATTTCCCAGAGACTTTCATATGTTTTTATTAAATGGAGCTGCAAGCCAGACTGGACATTAAATAATACTGTACTGCTCACAACAGCAGTGATCTTTAGAGGTTACTAACCTGCCATTGTATCTCTCAGATTTCTGTCTCGCTCTTCCGTTGTCATTTTGCTGCGTTATTACTCTTCAGGCTTCACATAGTATTCATTTCTCTGAATGAAAACAAATGACTCCTTGCAAGAGGCAGGAGATAAAGAATAATAAATACATTTTATGCACCACCTTAAAAAAAAAAAAAAGGGCTCTGAATCCCCATCCATCCATCAGGAAATGTAAACCAGAGCTCAGGCAAAACACACACAGGCTCGCTCAGGCACGAGCCCGGGAGATAAAACTTGTTTTAAGGAAAACATGATATTGTTTAAAAATAAATATCTCGGAGGATGCAAATAGACAGCCCCCGGCCCCCGTGTTTCGTGGCATAAATTTAAGATAATTAAAAATACAAAGCTCGGATTAAGCCTGATTTTCTGTGAATGGGAGAGGCTGTGGGGAGGAGGGGGAGTCCTGCTGTGCCTGGTGCTGTACAAGCTGCCCCGGAGAGGCAATTCCTACCTCCAGAGGGGCAATCCCTGCCTCTGATCATGGCTATTGATTGCCATGAGTTGTGGGACCCCCTTCACCAGCCATCCCCTGCATCCCTGCTGGATGCCTTGGCCTTCTCCTGGGGAGGGGGAAGCTGCAGGATCACACCCAGAGTTTTCCCCTCCCTGTCCTGATGGGCCAACACTCCTGAAAAGAATCTCTTCCCTTCACTTCCACTCTTCCCTAGACCTTTTCAAGGCGCCCAACCTCTTGGGATCAGGGCTCCCTGGGGAAGGCAGCCCTGTTGCTACGTGCTGCCACCAACACCCTGAGAGCACCCCCTTCCTTCCCACCATCTGCTGTCTGCTCCGCTTTTGGCTGGAGGAGAGCTCGGACATTACCTGCAGAGAGGACATCGGGTCTCTGCACGGTGGGAATGAACTTGTGGAGCGGGATCTGCTCCTCGGGGCATCCTGCTGGACACCAAACTCAGGCGGGAAGCACTAATAGCTTTTTAAAAATACTATTATTCCTGCGGCTGCCGGGAATTAAAGGAAGCCCCGGCGAGCGGAGCAGCTTGCGGCCGCTCTCCAGGATTACTGCTCACCCAGGCTGAGAGATTGATCTTCCTCTGAGCCTCCCCACGCCCGCTCTGATCCGCTCCCCTCCTCGGTGTGTCCAAGCCGGAGGAGAGCAGCAGGGCACAGGCTGGAGAGGGAAGGGAAAGCAGATGCCAGAGCCGGGAAGGGTTTTTCTGGCGAAGGAACGGAGGGGAGGCAGCGAGATGCGGTTGATTCTTGAGTGGGTTTTGGGTTTTATTCCTTTTTTTTTTTTTTTTTTTTTTGGGCAGAGACATTTCCCAATTAGCCCAATCAGGCTGGAGATCCTAGGTGTCAGTAGTGAGTAGGAGCGAGGGAAGGCACAGGAGGAGGAATCCAGGCAGCCGGAGTTGCAGCCGTAGGAGAGCGGCGGCGGCGGTGGCAGCCCCGGGCGCGCCGGGAGGCGGCCCCGCTCCCCTCCCCGTCCCCATCCCCATCCCTTTCCCCATCCTTTGCAAACTTTGGGACGACGAAAAGCGGCTCGGGGGACCCCCTTCCAGAGACAACCTGCGCTCCTCCGCCTTCTCCCCTCTCTCAGAGGTGGGTGGGCTGGAGAAAAGGAGGAGCAACCGGCCACTCTCTCTGCAAAGATTAAAAAAAAAAAAATAGGAGAGAAGGAAAGAAAGAGAAAAGGGATAGAAAGGGATTTTTATTATCGCTTTAATTTTTTAATTATTATTGTTATTATTTTTTATTATCCCTCGCCGGCGTATTGGGCTGGCGTTGCCACTGCACTTCCATACCTCTCCGGCTTTTTTTTAATATTATTTTTTATTTATTTTTTGGAGGGGTGAGGAAGAGGGGGGTGTGTGCCTGCGCGTGTGCCTGCGTTGGCAGAAGAGCCGGGGTGTCCAAGCCCGCTCCCGCAGCAGCCACCATTGGCGAGGAGGAGGGCTGGGGAGGAAGGGCTGGCGAGACAGCCGCAGTGCGAGCCCTCCCCGGCGGGCGGGAGGCCGCGGTGCCGGGCGCCGAGCCGGGCATGGCCCCGTAGCGCATCCCCTGCCTGCAGCCCGCCTGCCTGCAGCTCGCCTGCCTGCTCCGCTGCCTGTCTCCCCCCCAGTCCTCGCTGATTTACAGGCGGGGGGTTGGGGGGAAGGGCTGGGGAGGGAAGGAGGGAGGGAGGGAAAGAGGAAGGGGTGATTTGGGGAGTGAAAACTGGAGCTGCGTTCACCCCCCCAACCCCCCGCCCCGCGCTTCCCACCCCCACCCTCCGGCTCTGGGCGAGCCAGACACGGTTTGCCCAGTGCAGAGAGAGGGGCTCCGTGTTCCGCCTCCGTGGAGTATTTGGGATTGGAGAGAGTGACACACACACACACGCACACACACACACACACACGCACACAGAGACCATCTGCAGTGTCAATGCGGCGCCTGCTCTGAAGACTGAAGTGGGGGGAAAGGAGAAGAGAAAAAAATTATTATATATATACACCAAAACCCACCCAAAGCAAGCGAGGAGCACCGCCAGGTAAGGAGTCCTCCCCGCCCCGCCCGGGCAGCAGGGGCTGCGGGAGGATCCCCGAAGGATGCCCCGGAGGATGCCCCGGGAGGGCCGGCGGGGCTGCAGCGGTACCTGCCCTGCACACCTGGCGGCGGTGGAGCGGGGGTCCTGGGAGGGGCTGCTCCGCACCCCCGGGTCCTGGGGAGGGGGTCGGGGCTGGCAGGCAGGGACCCCCGCGGACAGCGGGCTGAGCCGGGGGGCTCGGGCACGGCCCCTCCGCCCCTCCCGGCCCGGCTTGGGAGGATGCTGGGGGTGGGGGTCGCAGAGGGGAGCCCCCTTCTTCACATGCCCAGCGCGCAGGGGACGCGGTGCCCGGTGTCCCCCCGTCCCCGGGTCCCCGATGGCTTTCCCCCCCCCCATACATAAGGCTCAACTTTTCTCCCCGGGGGTAGCGGCTCCAGCGGCGCAGCCCGTCCCTCATCACCCTCGGCTGCGGATTTTCCTCCCCTCAGGGGGTATCTTCCCCATTCGATGCTCCAGCGCTTTCTTTGGGAGAGGGGCTGGAGGTATTAGCAAACTTTTCCTGCTCCCGATGAGACTGCAGCTGGACGGGGCTGGAGGCAGAGCCCTGTTCCCGGGGAGGATAACACCGCCCGGGTGACCGAGGGGTAGGGACAAGGGCCACCCCCGGTGGTGAGCGCCTAGGAGAGAAGGGGAGACCTCTGTCCTTTCCCTTCTTGCGAGGTGCTGGAGAGTTTTCCTGCCCGAATCCCGGCTGCGGAGTCAGCGCTGCTAAACCTCCCTCCTTCCCTCGGTGCATGTGTTGTGCTGCAACCGAAACCTGCGTATTGATGCTCTGCGTTTATCAGACATATGCCCTTAAATTATGTAGACAGCGAGAAGTGATCTAAACACCGAGCCGCACATGGTTTTGGTGGAAATCTAATACTCCGGCAGCAGATGAGTTCCTCCCAGATAAACAAACCCACTTGCTCAGCCCCAGCAGGGCTGAGTGCTGTTTGGGTTTGTAGTGGCTGCATGTGGCTGCTCCATCCCCAGCCCAGAGCAAACCCTCCTCCTCCTGGGGCTCCATCTGCTCCCGGTGCCGGGAAGGGATGCAGCCAGCGTTCGCCGTGCTGGATGCGGTTGTAGGACCTGCAGGACTCGCCTTCGTGGAAAGGACCAGGTGGAGAGCGTGTGGCTGTGCTCCTCTCCCGGAAAACTTCCACCCCGCTTTGCTTCCCAGCCCTGCCGCCGGGCAGCCGTGCTGCTAGCTCGCTGGAAACGCACCTGATTTTCCATGGCTTCCCTCCGCTGCCGGGATGCGATGCCTGGGATGAGAGGTTTTGGGGGAAGCGAGCGGGTTCTGAGGCTTTCCAGGGGGTGGGGGTGAGTGGTGCAGAGCGGAAGGTTTGGACCGGGACCCCTGGGATTGCTGGGGGATGCTCTTGCTCCGCGGGAACAATGACGGTGTCAGGGGATTTTTACAGCCGATGCAACCGCTCGCAGCCTTCTAGGGACTTATCTTGAGCGTGCACCAGCCCTGCACAAATATTTTGGGAGGCATAAGGCGTGCTAACTTATTTTCTTTATCTGTCCTCTGTTTCACCCGGGTCTTGTCCGTAGAAACCGGTGAAACCCGTAAGCGGGCAGGACCAGCGGAGCGAGGGTTTGCTCTGCCTTTGCCGTCTCGGGGATTTTAATTACGGCGTGTGCCTCCCAGTGTGAGATTAGGTGCTTTTCCCCCTGGCTAAGCTCACTGGCTCAAGGTCCAGGGGGTACGAGCAGCGTTTTGTTTGCGGTTGAATTGCCGGGGGAGGTGTGTGCTTGTTTGTTTGTGCGCGGGATCCTTCGCCGGAGCCGGGCTTCCAGCGGTGCAACAGATGTGTGTCTGCTTCCCGTGTGCAGCCAGGTTTGAACGTGCAATCCCAGCCCCGTCACGGAAGCCTGGGATTTTCATCCCTCCTGCGCCCAGACCCATCCTCCGTGGGGGTGTCTCCTTTCCGAAAGGACCAGTCCGAGGCTTTTTCCTTTCTGTCCCAACCTTAAACGTGCGGCGCTCGGCGACATCGATACGATGCGCGATAAATGACAGCCGCATGATCTAAGTGTTGTTTATGTCCAAGACGGGTGTTTTAAAATCCAGGCTGTTGATCACTCGCGGTGCTGTTGGGGAAGCGTTTGCCTGACGATTGCAACCGCATTGTAGGCGCTGAGGGCTGGTGTTAAATCTGCTCAGCGAGCAGCCCCAGCACCTGGCGAGCGGAGAGGGATGAGCGCTATCGCAAATCCAGAGGGAGATGCTGAACTTCTCCACGGGGAGAGGAAATATTCGAGCCTTCCCCTCATGCGCTCACCTGCCAGCATCCCTCTCGCCGCGGCGAGCCTGGTGCTAGACAGCCTGTGGATGTGGCAAAGCCGAGGGCTGAGCACAGGCACGGGAGCGGCTCAGATCCCTCGCCGGGGAGGCAGGAACCGTCTTTGGCAGCCGAATCCCGGGGGGCACCGGGCTGCCGGAGCGGGTTTCGCGTCGAATCCTCTACTTTTGCAGGCTGAGGAGGGGAGGAGGGACGCCGGAGCCCCTTTTGCGTTGCATCTTTTTGCTTTTACCGAGCTGCTTTGTCTCTGCCTCCCAATTTCCTCGATGCCGGGCGGCCGCAGTAAAACCAACCTCCCTCTGGCAGCGCCGGGGTTTGATTCTCGCCCCGGGGCGAGGAGCCCTGCGAGGTCTTGCGGCGCTCGGGTGTGATGGTGGGTTAACGCCGTGTAGGAATTAATTTCTCATTTGGAAGGGAGCTCTGAGAAGCTCCCTGCAAAGCCGGGAACAGCGCTGGCACAGCAGGCTCGTGCTCCGCGCCGGGATCCTACGCGGGGAGGGTGTTGGAGGTAGGGCTGTTGAGTTTCGGAGTTAGAGGTGCCAAAGTTTGTGGCTTGGCGCTGCCTACACGTGTTTTCGAGCAGGATGGTGTGCTGCCCTGCGAATCACTTGGCTCCTCCCGGTTTATTATTCACAATACTGCTTTATGAGGTCCCCCACGTGTGAGATTGAGACCCCGTGGCTGAGATTGAGACCCCACATCACCCCTTTGCAGAGGGGACTCAGAAGCCTCGTGTCTTGCCCATGAATTCCCCTCCACCACCAGGGATGTGTTTTGGATTATGAGGGTTTTTTTCCCTGGTGAAGCCCTCAAACAGCTTGATGCTCAAATAAAAAGCCCTTTCTGGTCCCCACCAATGTGACTAAAGGCTTCAGAGGGCTCTTTCTTGCTCCTTCTTGCTTGCAAGACTTGAGTTAATGGACACCAACAGCTCCAGGCGCCCAAGGCAACGAGACTTCCCGTCTGTGCAGAGAGTCTGGGCAACCCACTGACTTACTGCAGGGCATCAGTGATGAGCGTGCTTCCCTGCATGACTGTCTTCATGTGAGAAGTGCTTTATATCCTTTAGCTCTGAGCTCTCAAGGAGCCTGTGACAAAAAAAAACAGAGGGGAAAAAAGAAATAAAATTACGTAGGGCCGCCCGGATGTTTCTCTCGCTCAGGCTCTGAAGGGTTTTGAAACAGTGGGAGAGTGTTCTCTCCTTCCCGTGGTGTGGGTTGGGAAACTGAGGCACACAGAGGCAATTTATTGACAGGAATTCTCACTCATCACCACGAAATGCGAGCCGGACCCCAAGTTTGATGGTGGGAGCAGTGAGCGGTGTCCTGCCCTCAAGACTTGGGGCTTCATCACCCAAGAGCAGTCCTTGGTCACAACAGGACACTTTCAAGGTTGAATTTCTTAATTAAAATGACAGATGGGTGCTTCAAAATGAGACAGTATCATAGAATAGTTTGGGTTGGAAAGGACCTTAAAGATCACCCAGTTCCAACCCCTTGCCATGGGCAGGGACAACCAAACATCTTGGGTTAGGGGATTGGCCTGGGGGCAGCTGTGCCCTCATGAACCTTGGTCCTTGTGTCTTTGAAAAATTTGGTACAAAATGCTTTTAATCACCTTTGGGAATGGAGAGATCATTGTAAAAATGACGTGCTGAGATACCTACAGTGTGTTTGGTGATGTTCTGGAACCGTCATTCTTCCTTGTTTTTGTTTTTTTTTGACTCATCCCACAAGAACTTCTGGGTTTTTCTTGTTCTTCATGTGTGAATGAGCTCTGTGACTTTACCTCATCCTTGAGTAGTTGGACCTTTGCGAGGTGCCAAGTAAGAGATACCAAGTCTGCATCCCCTGAAACAGGAACCAGAGTGTTGTGTCATCTGCCCGGCACCCTTTCCTTTATTAAAACCCCCTCTGTGAGCCCTTAGAGATGCTCTGAAGGTTTTGAACAGGCAACCCTTGGTTTGAAAACCCCACTTTGCTTCAGACACCTGCAGTCTGTGCAGCTCCAGCTGATGTGAACCCTGCCAGGTGATTCCTGGGACATGAGAAGCCAACTTTTTACTGAAATATAACGTTCCCAGCTGCTTCCATCTCAAATTCTTTGTGGAAGGCACCAAGTTCTCAGAGCCTGAAGACCTGAATGAATGGGTTGAAACCCCCATCCCCACCATGCTGCAGCTGGCTTTGACCTTACCTGGGGGAATCACTAGAAAGAGAGAGGTCATTTGTGTGACTTTCTTTAAGCCCAGGCTTTGCTGCTGAGAGGGTTTCCCAGTGTTTTTTAGATACTTCATGCCATGAAACAGAGATCCAGATGCAAAAGTCAAGAGACTGAGATTCCCAGGTTTCTTTTGTAATAGGGATAAACAAAACTTCCCACTAAACGTGGCTGGATGATTGCACTGATGGCCCAAAAAGGAGACCTCAAATTGCCAAGTCTCCTGGTTTTTATCCTCTGAGTTTCCTTCCAGCTCTATTATCCATACATGAGTGGTCTGCTGGGGCTTTCCCACCCAGCCACTGGCAATAAATTTCCAGGAGCTGACTGGCACTTGAATTTGCCTTGTCCTTCTGACAGGACGAATGTGTGGCTCTAACACAGAGAATATGGGATAGGCTTCCATTACAGGCATTTGCATGATATATA